AATAATAATAATAATAATAATAATAATAATAATAATAATAATAATAATAATAATAATAATAATGGTTATAATTATAATTACTATTATTACTGCCATTGCTAATTACGATTACCATCAGTACTAGATAATCAGCAGTAGCAGCAGCATGACCAGTCTGAAAGTATGCTGCTGCATGAGTGGTAACTGGTGTGGCCATGTTCCTCACACACATACACACACACACACTAGGATTATAAGTTTCTGAGCGGCTTTGAATATGAAATGGAGCATATTTTTAGCACTGTATGGTGCCAGTCGGATGAACTGGCTGCCCTCCGCTCTGGTTTGACTTGCAGCAGCTGCTGGCGCGCAGTGCTCGCGCCTTTGCAGTTACTGCCGTCGACCTCCAGCGTATAACCTCTGCAGGCCCAAACCACGCATCTCTTTACGGCCCCTCTGTGTGCGCAGTGAGCAGCACGACGCCAGTAAAACAGAGTACGAGAAAGTAGGAAGCGAGAATCCTGCTATCCACTCGAAGCACTCACGCGGCCCCCACTTGGACTTTGCGTGAATTTGAGGCCCACAACCGTACTGGGTACTTTGCAGGGTTTTATCAGTGGTAGGCGCAGTATGCCTTGCTGGACAATGTGAGGTTGGAGAGAGAGAGAAAGAGGCAGGGCGGGAAAAGAGAGCGAAAAAACGGGAGGAAAGTGCTCAATATTGACGATGCACATGGGGCAATGGATTGCGCTCGCTGGATCGATGTCGGGAATGTGGCATTTCGGGCCCACCAGTCTCCCGGATCTGCCCTCTTGTAACTTCGGCTCCTTCTCTTTTGAGCTTAATCCCGAGTGCGCGGGTCGGTTTTTTATTTCCAACTCCCCTGAATCGTAGACCCAAACCTGTGTAGACTGTGCTCGCTAGCTTTGCACCCGTACTCTTGCACTCTGCTTGTCCACCAATTCTTCTGCCCCGCCTCACCTGAACATCAAGAAGTGTGGTTCATCTTCCAGGGGGGTATACCCGGAATACCAGGACCACCCAGACAGTCGGGACCCTATGTTATTGGGTTGCTTCCACACGACCGGCACAATTATCCAGGCCCTTACAGCTTTGTGCTGCACACTTCCAGTTAGAACGTGCAATTTTCCAGTGAGACTCCTCGGCTGCTGCTGTAACTGCGGCACTCTGACGCTGAAGGGATTACCGAGACCGTCCGAGCAGTGGCTGTGAGGATCTCGTGTTTGCAGTGATGGCGGCAATGGGGTGCTGCCGTACGCACTGGTGCCAGTCCTGGGCTGCATGTGCGCCCCCCTCTCCGGGCACTGCCCGAGTATTCGTTCGTTTACTTTTTCGCGTGTACCATTCACTGATAA